AGGCCCCTTGATACCTTTTTTCACAATAGAGCCTTCGCCGAAGATATTGAGGTAATCAAAGTAGACGAAGTAGTCAACGTAGGTGAGGTAGTTCTAGATGATCATGACCCGTCTTCAAGCTTTCACTCATGGGCGCCAGCAAGGCTTTTGTCTTCGGGCAGATTACTTGTCCAATGCGTTCCTCGTCCGCCCATCTTGGCTTGCGCTTGTGAGAAATTCTTTCATGTGCTTGAAGTGAAGCGTAGGCATGGTTGATGTCGCAGATGTCATAGATGGGGATCCCCCACTCCAATTGACAGTGAAGGCAAAGTCAAAGATGCCGATGGCAATCTCTCGCTCCAAGAAGTTGGAGAGGTGTAGTCGAAGATGTTGATGGTGATCCCCTTGCTCTAAATTGGTGAAGGTGAGGTTGATTACACCGAAGCTAATGGTGAAGCCCCTTGGAGAAATGTTGACAAAGGCATAGCCAATGATGTCGAAGTTGTAGTTGAAGCCCCTCGCTAAAAAGTTGGCAAAAGCGGTGTTATTGATTACCAAAGTTAATGGTGTATCCCTTTGTAGACAGGTTGGTGAAGGCATCTTTGCTGACGCTGAAGTAGATGGCAAGGCCCCTCACCGATAGGTTGGCGTGGGCAAAGTCAACTTAGCCAAAGTTGGTGGTTACTGGTATGTTTTGCGAAGGTGTTGCTGGTGACATCAAAATCGGTGGTAAGGTCCTTTGCCAAAAATGTTGGATTGGTTAGTGTCTAGTTCGCCAAAGTCAGCGACAAAGCCCCTCACCGATATGTTGGTGAAGCATGGTTGATAACGCTGGTGAATCCCCTCAGCATCATTTTTTGGTGTCGACCTCCATACCTTCTGGGCAAGGGGCCGAGGAGCAGCGAATGATCCCCTTGTTGCTTTTAGATTACTTTGGCATTGGCCCCCATAGTCCATACCTTCTCGGGCAAGGGGATGAGTAGTGGCGAAATGAGCCCCTCAGCACTTTTGGTTTACTTTAGCGCCGATCTCCAAACATTGAGGTGTGGGGTGAAAAGTAGCGAAATGAGCCCCTTTTGCGTTTTTTAGATTATTTTAGCGCTAGCCCGCATACCTTTTCGAGCGAGGAGCTAGAACCGGCGAAATGACCCTCTCGAGGCTTTTAGATAGTTTTAGCACCAACCCTCATAGTCAATGTCGATTCACATTTTGCTTTTGTTGTATGTATTTTTGTCAACGCGATGTTACTGAGCTCAATCGAATCACTCGGCTTGGGTTCCTTATATTTTTGGGAATGGGAAGTCTCTGAGCTCTTGTAAAATCGTTGCGCTTTGGTTGCACGAATTTTGGCAATGCGAAGTGACTGATCTCTTTTTTAGTTGTATATTTAGAGGTCAAAATGGATGCAGGCGGCGTTCTGCGACTGCTGTCTAGTTTTGATCTCATCAGCTGTGTTTCTACCGATACTGGGGAGCCTTACGATGCTAAGATGCCCTTTTCCTCTTAAGCAAAGTGCTCATGCGGTGGATGAATGTTTTGAATGAATGTCGTGATGCACATGAGGGATGTATTTACATGAAAAAGAAAGCCAATTGATATATGTGATAAACAAATCTTCTGTAAATTTCTACAGAGTTAGTATGACTATGGAAGGTTGTTGCCTTCAGAAAACTTTGTATGGCCCAGAAAAAAATTACTGAACTAGAACCTATAGTACGAGAGAAAGCAGACCAAAGATTATTTGAAAGTTCGCCTTGCCCTCGTGTATTTTCAGAGGGTCAAAGTTTTGAGCCCTTAGGCTTTTCGGTTTGCTCCGCCCTCATGCATTTTCGGAGGGTCGAAGTTTTGAGACCTTAGGCTTTTCAGATTGCATCACCCTCGTGTATTTTAGGAGTCAAAGTTTTGAGCCCTTAGGCTTTTTGGATTGCTTCGCCCTCGTGTATTTTCGGATGTTTGAAGTCTTGAGCCCTTAGACTTTTTGGATTGCTTCACCCTCACATATTTTTGGAGGAATGAAGTTTTGAGCCCTTAGGCTTTTCGGATTGCTTTGCCCTCACGTAATTTTCGGAGGATCGAAGTTTTGAGCCCTTAGGCTTTTGCGATTGCTTTGCCCTCGTGCATTTTTAGAGGGTCGGAGTTTGGGCCCTTAGACTTTTTGGATTGCTTCACCCTCGCGTATTTTCAGAGAGTCAAAGTTTTTAGCCCTTAGGCTTTTCTGATTACTTCGCCCTTGCGTATTTTCGAAGAGTCGAAGTTTTTTTATCTGCAAATTGGGTGTTAGCTGGGAGGCATAGCAATAGACTGTGGAACCCCTGCATAGAAATAGAATGTGGATCCCTTGCATAGATGTTTAACGTCCTGTTCGCTTGAACTTGAATTTATCAGCTCGTCTTATCAATAATGCACAGTGTTTTTCTCTCACAACAAAACAGTATCAACCGGCTTATCAGTCGCAAAAACTATCAGCCGAACAATAGACAACAAGCACGTATGCATAATATATAAGGAAACGTTTAGAAAAATTTAGGCCCATGCAAGTACATAGGAATTAAGAAATTGTGCCCTTGTGAGTGAATAGTAATTAAGAAATTAGGACTAGGCGCTATTGTTTTGCATATAATAATAATAATATAACCGAAAGCAACCGATGGCCTTCGAAAGTACTGTTGAAAGAAAAATGACGATGGATGAAAAATGACTGTCTATTGATCGATGAACAGTGTACAAATATTTATACAAGCCCAATGGGCAGTTGTCTGTTGATGAAAATGTGTCTCTACAGTAAATCATCATTAACATTTATTAATGACGGGATTGACTAATTGATCACAATTTATTTAATCTTAACACTCCCCCTTGAGCAATTGATTTTCGTAGACGTCTTTGTTTGTTCATCAATCATCATCTTGAAGCTTTGAAAAACCCTGTGGGAAAAAAACTAAAGTATACCGATATACCAGACAAAACTCCTTATAACCCAGTGGGAAAAATAATGAGAAACACCATGATATATGTAACTCTAATGTTAATAGACCCTTTAGGCATTCCCAAAGACATAGTCTAAAAACAGTTTCATCAGAGATCAATATGTCATAAATATTATCTTCGAAAAAACTCTGTGAGGAAAAATAGATAATATGACATTTATTATGTGTTAGCATTACCTCATTAAAAACTTTATGTGAGAAAACTCTAGAAGAGTAAAACTCATATAAAGGAAAAAGAGTGTAATGTGATGTTGAAAACATGTTATATTTTAGAGGGATTCTCCCCCTAATTCTTGCAAATCTCTAAGTCTTCTCATGCCAATGCCCTCAACACATTTATGGAATGCGGAGTATGGTAGAGATTTTGTGAATAAATCTGCTAGATTATCACATGACTTAGTTTGCAAGATTTCAATTTCTCCATTCTTTTGGCCCTCATGGGATAGAATAACTTGGAAATAATATGCTTCGTGATTCCATTTATATAACACATGCCGAATTATTATCAAAGATAATTGTTGGTGTCTCAAGTGCACCAATACCACGTGATTGTATTATGTGGTTTATCATTCTGCGAAGTCATACGCATTCGCGTGATGCTTCATATAAAAGCAATTATTTTAGAATGATTGGTGAAAGTAGACACCAAAGTCTGCTTTGAAAACTTTCAAGATATTGTTGTTCCACCTTGCAAGAATACAAAGCCTGTTTGTGATCTGCCATTATTTTGACAAAAGCATGGTTGCATGTCGATAAAAAAGACACGTGAGACCATCTAGTAGATGCGTCTATCAATACCATGAAGTACCTAAAAGGCCCCGACAATGGTTGGATCGGACCACAAATATCTCCTTGAATTCTTTCAAGGAATTTGAGTGGTTCAGCTCAAATTTTAAGATATGATGGTCTTAAAATTCATTTCCCAATTGCACAAGCAGTGCAACAAAAATCTTTATTCTAGGGAAATTTTGCATTTTCCATATCATGACCCATGGAATTGCCGATAATTTTCTTCATCATGCCTATTTCAGGGTGCCCAAGTCGATCATGCTAGTTTCGGAATGTATCGACATCTTAGAAAATTATCTTATAAGCAACATGTTCTATGGGCTTTATGTTTGTAAAGTACAATCCAATTTGGAGTGAAGAAATCTTTTCACAGATTTGTCTGCCATATCTAGTAAGTTTGGTAAAGAGAAGAAATTCCTCTTTATCATTCATATGTGTTTCCACATGGAAACCATTCTTACGGACGTCTCTAAAACTTAGAAGGGTAC